TCGTGGCTCCAACATACCAGTTATTTGGCCAGAAATACATTAATTTCATTTTCTTCAGTTTCTTCTTCCATAAAATGGGGATATTCATCATAATTGTCTTAAAAGGTTATCGTGAAGATTAAATAATAATATATGTAAAGGAGTTAATACAGAATCTGGAACATAGAAGTACTCAATGATAAAGTTAGCATTATCATGCCATGCTATTTTTATTTTAATTCAATATCTTTTGTATGTTTGCTTTCTCGTAAGTGACATTAAAAAGTAACTCTTACTACTAAACAAAAACCAGATGTCTTATGTAGTAGTCAGTAAGTAACTGATACCATAAGGAAATAAGCATATAGAAGAAATTGAGTTAAAATAAATTTTAGATGGGAGGTCAACATATTAATAATTTATTGAATACTGATATAATATTTATACAATGAATTTGAATAAGTATTTTTGAAGTATTTATTCAAATATTCATTGAGCAGCCATTATATGTCAGGCCTTCTTCTAGGTGCTGAGGTGAGAGTAAACAAAACAGACCAAATCCCTGCCCCAGTGGAGCTTACATTCAAATATGAGCGACATACAATAAAACCAGCTAAACATGTAAATGCTGCATTTAATATGTTGGATAGTGATAAGTGCTATGTGTCAAGAACTGTAAAAGGCCTGGGATTTTACCCTACTTAAAAGCTACCAAGCAAGGCTACTAATGTTTCATGGATGCTGGCAGAAGACACAAAATGTCTGGGTCAGAGGCAGAGGGCAGCTTCGTTATGCAGGGCAAAAGCAGTAGCCAGAGGTTCATGTATGTGCCAGATTCCCACGTTCCCACCCTCCTACAGTCTTGTGGGGACCACACCGGTGGGCCTAGATGAAACCCTGCACATGCAGTGTGTTGCATTATGGCAGAGGAATACTGAGGAATTGCTTCATTTTATAGCAAGCAGAAGCAAGCCTGCTGTTTGTCTTGGGGAGATGTAACCTCATCCTTCAAGGTTGCTCACTGAATACACAACCCTGAGAAATGGCCCAGGTAAAGAGTATTCAGGATCTTGCATTCTTGGCACACCCAGCAAGAAACACGCAGGGATGGCAGTGTTCATGGCAGATTGCCTCTCTTAATTGTATGAAGAAAAAGTAAGCAGGGAAGGAAGGGTGACTAAATACTATTATATTTTTCTAATGAATATAAAAATACTCTTCTATACTGTTCCATAGAACAGGAATACTATTCTGTTTTACCTGTGAATATTTTAATTGTTATATTTTATCTCTTGAAAATATGTAGAGTTCAGTATAAATACATATTTGTTACCTTGAGTTAGATCATTTAAACCACAAATGTTAGTAGCTATTTTTAACTATAATTTTCAATTATTAGTTTATGTAATAAAGTTTATGGTGTTAACATAAGTTTAGTTTATTAATGATGCATTAATATTTTCCTTAGTACAGTTATGGAAAAATTACAGTTAAAATCTGGCCCTGTACTTATGCTTGTCATATGAGATAAGGCATATCTTATTTATAACATGTAACAAGGGTCTTATGTAATTCAATAGCACAAAAAATGCTTAAAGCTTAATTCGAAACCAAGCATTTTAAATTCAAGTCCAGTGTTAACTTGTATTGTGTGGTATTTTGTTATTTACACGTGAATATTTATAGACTCAGTATTAATTTTCCTTTCTTTCAAAACCATCAGCATTTCCATATGGTATTAGATTCATTTCTCAAACTATCTGTAGTAAAGTACCAGTTCCCCTCCTCTCCCTTCATCCATCCTGGACTAATCACATGCAATTAAAAAATAAACAAAGACCTATAAATACAGACCTCAATATTTCATTTGATTCATAAACAATATTATGCAGTCAAATTGCCATAAAAGGGCCAGGCACAGTGGCTTGCACCTATAATCCCAGCTACTTGGGAGGCTGAGGCAGGAGGATCACTTAAGGCAAGGAGTTCAAGACAAGCCTGGGCAACACAGTGAGACCCTATGTCTGAGAATGACAAAATGAATGAATAAATTAAAAATGGATAAGAAAGTAACTTTTTTACAAAAAGGCCAAGTGTGGTGGCTCATGCCTGTAATCCTAGCACTTTGGGAGGCCGAGGTGAGAGGGTTGCTTGATGCCAGGAGTTTGAAACCAGCTGAGCAACATAGTGAGACCCCCGTCTCAACATAAAATTTAAAAATTAGCTGGGTGTGGTGGCACACGCCTAGTCCCAGCTACTTTGGAGGCTGATGCAGGCAGATTGCTTGAGCCTAGGAGTTTGAGGTTGCAGTGAGCTGTGATGATGCCACTGCACTCTAGGCAGGGGCAAGAGTGAGATCCTGTCTCAAAGAAAAAAAAATTGCTGTGAAAGTTTCTAACACTAACTCTCAATTTCTATACTTATCTCACTGCGGGCAAACTCTGTACCACACTTCGAATAGCACTATTATAGATTGTTCTCCACGATAACAGCCTGGGGAATTAAGGATATACCCTCACCATATCCCCAATATCCATCTTTCTTACCTTTTTAAAGCCTTTCTTTGGATTTTTTTAAATAATTTGGACCCATTAATGTGTTCCCTAAGTTTATTAATTGTTACAGAGAATATTCTTTTCTTTGTCTAATACATCTTTCAAGCTTCAACTGTCTCTTCATAGTTCAGATATTTGAGGATTTGGTGAGTGATTCCACCCTTAACTCTTCCTATAAACGTCATAATTTAATAGATCTTTATCATATCCTTTCAGCTTTCTTTTTTCAGACTCAAGAATTATAATCTATTTAGTTTATCCTTAAAAGGCACAGAAGGGGAATGAAACTATGAGTGATGCGTATGTGAAATCAGGTTCCTAGCTCAACATCCATGTGTGTCATTATGTTTCATCTAGAGAAAGTTTGTTCTATAATCCTTCATCTGCTTTCCTAGTTGCTTCTGGTCACTAGTCATACCCCGTGAAAATTATGGATAACAATGTTCTGTCATTGTTACTGCAAAAAGAGCGCAACACTGGTAATGAGTCATAAGTGTAGTAGGAAGAATGTTGGTTCTGAAGTCATTTTCCTATAGCAGTATTCAACTGTTCCAATAGACATTGGACAGATCATTTCAATTTCCCTCTCTAAAAAACAGAAATAATTTATAGCTCATGAGATGAATAATAGATGCTCAGTAAATATTTGTACTTTTCCTCTTTTCCCTCCACAAAGTACCATACATTATATTATTAAGTTTACTTTTTGCAACTAATGAGACTACTACTCCAGGCAGCCTGGAGGCCTTGGTTTGCCTGTCACTGATCTTACAAATACTGGATGTCATTATTCAGATTTTCATTTTATTTGTGAATTAAGGTTTGGTTCACCTTTTCAGTTCAGCTTTTCTAACTGCCCCCAAAATAGTTCAGTTGAGAAGTCTTTTTCTTCCATATCTGGTTATATTTTATCATCTAATCCCTAATTTCTTAAATTTATAATACAGTAAGTATTCCTCTGAGCATCTACAGACTCTAGCATCTACAGACATCCAAGTGCAGATGTAAAGTAGGTAGACGGATATAAAAATCTGGAGCTCAGGAAAAAAGATGTAGATTGGAAATATGGATTTAGAGGTCATTAGCATATAGATGGTAGTCTTGAGTATAGATAAAATTGTTCAGAGAACATAAAATTTCAGATGAAATTCTGAAAACAGCATTTAAGATATAGAGAAAGAAGCAGTCTAGAAAGGAGCCTGGAGAAAGCTCCAGCAAGGTAGGAAAATCAGGAGAAAGTATGGAATAAATAAAAACAGCAAAGCATTTCAAGAAAGAGGGATTGATCAGCATCTTAAATATTGCAAAGAAGTTATGGAAAATAATTATTGAAATGTATCCCTTAGATTTGACATATTGAAAGTCACTGTTTACCTTAAACAATTTTAGTAGAGTACTGGGGCCAAAGGCCAGACTACAATGGGTTAAGCAGCAAATATGAAAAGAGGAGAAAATTACAAGTGTAGGCTAATCTTCAGTCAGTCTGTTCTTGGAGCAAAGGAGAGAGGGTTTGACAGCTTCAGAGGAATGTAGAATAGAAGGACTAAGTTGGTTGGTTAGTGGTTTTTGAAGAGAAATTTCAACATGTTTATATATTAAGGGAAAATGTTTATGGAGACCAGAAAACTATACTATTAGTGACAATAAGGAAGACTGTTGGAATTTTCCCTACTTTTTAAGTGAAATTGACTTGGGAGTGTTTCAGAATTTTCTTAAATCATATGGCTGTCTTTATATATTTTTTCCTGGTTTACAAGAGTAATGAATAATTGTCATAAAAAATTCAGACTTTACGGAAGTACATAAAATAGAAAATAAAAGTCTTCTGTAATCTGTGATAACTATGAACAATTTGATATATGCTACACAAGTTTTTTCCCCTCTGCATATACTAATGTTTACCTATGTGTAATCATGTTGATCTGTAGCCTTTTTCACTTAATAGTATAGTCAGTTGATAATTCAATGATGGAAGTAAAGGTAAAAATAAACTAACCCCATAGAGATTTTTACATCTTTGTATTTAATACATGATTAACTAACCTCCATATTAAGGAATTTTTATTTACAAACACCTTATCTATTCTTTATCCTTCCTCTTTAGAGTGGACGTAACTGAAATTCAGATAGCTTTAGTGATTGTCTTTGTGTTGTCTACATTTGGAGGAGCAACAATGTGGGACTATACGGTAAATCTGAATATTTAAATTTATATTTAAGTACTTTTAAAATATTTATGAAAAAATATTGAATTTTTAATTTTCTTCAAAAATCCTTGTATTATGTTTAATATTTATTCCATTTCTTAATGTTTTCCCTTCATTTTATATTATTATCCTATATACTTTATTATAGCATTTTCTTCCATGAATAAATATATTACCTCAGAAGAAAACCACCCAGTCTTCCTAATATAAAACAAACAAACAAAAACACACTGGAATTACCTTTACCAGGCTAAAATTAGTCTCATAAAATAAATGTTTTTAAAAATACAGTAAAATATTTTACATTTGAAATTTTATCCCCTCAATATTAGGAAAGAAAGTTAGCAAATTTGCATTTTTATAATCCACTTTGAGTGTAAAGATTCCCATATTAAGGAGTGTGTTTATTTTCTGCTTGGTTGGTGACCTCAGTATTTTGATAAAAGTTGGCTCTTAAGGAGGCCACTGTCATAAATATAAGCTTTTTTGCATCGGAAGAAAATTTATGAAGAAACATTATTGTGTCACTACAACCTAAGTCCACAGCATTGGCTAACTGATTCACAACTTTTTGCTCATAGTTTTAAGAAGAATAATAAGGATAATATCAATGGCCAACAACTAACATTCATTTAACACTTATTACGTTCCTAAACGTATTACCATCAGTTTCATCTGCCCCTCAGAACAATCCTATGAAATAGATAGTATTATTATTCTGTTTTATAAATAAGTCTTAGAATATTAAGTAATTTGCCCAAGGACACATGGGAAGTAAGTACTGGATCTAGGAATTAAGCAGACTGAGTCCAGACTGTATATTTGTAATCACTAAGCTATATATATCCAGTAAAAATAGTAAGAGTTAGGCCAGGCGGTAGCTCATGCCTGTAATCCTAGCACTCTGGGAGGCCAAGGCAGGAGGTCGCTTGAGGTCAGGAGTTCAAGACCAGCCTGAGGAAGAGTGAGACCTCGTATCTACTAAAAATAGAAATAAATTAGCTGGACAACTAAAAATAGATAGAAAAAATTAGCCGGGCATGGTGGCGCATGCCCTGTAGTCCCAGCTACTCCGGAGGCTGAAGCAGGAGGATTGCTTAAGCCCAGGAGTTTGAGGTTGCTGTGAGCTGGGCTGACACCTCGGCACTCTAGCCTTGGCAACAGAGTGAGAATCTGTCTCCAAAAAAAAAAAAATAGTAAGAGATAAAAAACTAAAACATACTTTTACCATATGATCCAGCAGTCGCACTCCTTGGTATTTACCCAAATGAATCAAAAACTTATGTCCACACAAAAACCCGCACACAAATGTTTATAGCAGCTTTATTCATAATTGCCAAAACTTGGAAGCTGTCCTTTAGAGGCGAATGGATAAACTGTTGTATATCTAGAAAATGGAATATTATTTAGCACTAAAAAGAAAGGAGCTATCAAGCCATGAAAAGACATGGAGAAACCTTAAATGCTTATTACAAAAACAAAGAAGCCAATCTGAAAAGGCTATATATACTTTCTAACATATGACATTCTATAAAAAGGAAAAACTACAGAGACAGTAAAAAGATTATAGGTTGCCAGGGGTTGGGGGAGGGAAGGTTGTTGAAGCGGTAGAGCACAGAGAATTTCTAGGTAGTAAAACTATTTTGCATGATACTATAATGGTGGATACATGTCATTATACATTTGTCATAAAACATAGAATGTACAACAGCAAGACTGAACTCTAACGTAAACTATGAACGTTGAGTGATGATGTGTCAACGTAGGTTCCTCAGTTGTAACAAATGTACCACTCTGGCGTGGGATGCTGATAGTGGGGGAGGCTGGGCATGGGGGAGTGGCAGGTGGGAACTTTCTATACTTTCTGTTCAATTTTGCTGTGAACCCAAAACTACTTTAAAAAATAAAGTTTATTAATATAGTAAAAGATTTCTCTGTGGCACATAGTATCAGAATTGCCAATTACTGTTCATATCAGAAGGCTGAGAAATAGACTTTGAATGTAATTTTAAGTAATGGTACATTCCCTGAGACATTCATATTCCTTCTCATCATGTAAGAATAGATAATGGAATCAAGGTATGCTACCAGAGGCCCATACAACATACTAGAGGGATGGTATGTGTCTTTTATGGTAGCTGTTCAGCTAGTACCCGTAAGAAGGTAAATGTGGACCTAGAAGCAGTGAAGCAACTCTGGTCATTAAGTTAGGCGTGGTTGTCTTAAATTTGAAATTGAATCCTAAAATTATTTAATTAAATATTTTTGGCAATCATAGGAAGAAAATACACCTGCTTATTCTTATTTAGAAGGATACTTATTTTTGATGCAGGTTTTCTAAATTTAATTGTTAACCTGTAGTTTCTACAAATTTTGATACAATATTTCAAAGTATTTTCAAAACACAATAGCCTAGAGCTTCTGGCAATTCATTTGTTACTGTTTTTTAAATCCTTTGCTGCCCTTTGGAAGTTTTCTTGAACAGCAATTGACCAACAGGTAAATATATTGCTAGAGATTTAATCCTGGATATTTACTACACATATTTTTTGCATGCACACACATTATAGTATTTGTCACATTTAATGATGCAGATCATAGTGTCTGCCTTTCCTGTAATACTGCTTTTTAGAGGCTACTAAATACAAGTGAACTATCCTTTTTCATGTTTAAGTCAGATAAAGTCTTGTGAGATTAAAGATTTAATCAATTATGTAAATAGACTAAGCTAATTTGGTAGATTGACTTTTCACTTAATAAAGCAATTTCAAAAAATGTTACCACTTTGGGCTACATTCCAGAAGTTATGGTTGGATTTCAAGAAAAAGGATAGCTTGTTGTACAGGGCCGTATCATAGTATTTCTTTACTATTTAATAGGAAAAAAAATTCTGTTTTCTTAATGATTTGTTTCTTTCCTCTACCCCTAAAGATACCCATTCTAGAAATAAAATTGAAGATCCTTCCAGTTCTCGGAGTAGTAGGTGGAGCAATATTTTCCTGTTCAAATTATTTCCATGTTATCCTCCATGGTGGCGTTGGCAAGAATGGATCCACTGTAGCAGTAAGGCATTAATTTCATCATCATTCAGTATTAATTTTATGATAAATTGTATCATCAGCTATAAAAAAGATACTAAAAATATGTCAAAGTTCAAGAACAGGGCAGGAAACTATCTTAAAGAATTAATTTTAGGCACATAGTACAAAAGCATTTAAAAAGTTTAGACTGACAAAACATTTTTCCTCTTTCTACAAGCTTGCTCTGTGCAGAGTTTTCTGACATTTCATTTAATCATCCAGTTTCATTACTGTACATAAGAGTTGCCATTTGTTTTCCTGAATTTTGTGCCCTGTACTATTAGGGGAGAGGAGGAAGAGTAGGGAATGAGTTCCTGAATGAATGGCAAGAAAGCTGCCAAAAGTCAATGATTTCACATTTGGGGCAGTTTATTACTCATGAAGTAAGTTTTACTAAAATTTCACTGAACTATAGTATTCTAATATTTTAAAAGGTAAATTTTTTTTTTTACCCTGGTTCTTGAGTAGGTATACCTTGTGCTTGTGTTCTTTACACCTTGTTCATGCTATAATACTTTTGTATTTATTCACATTTGTTTTTTAAAACTTCTTCAATACCTTTAAGTGGGAAAGAGAATTCCTGCCAAGGTTTTAAACAAATAGAACATAATACCTGTGTTTTTTAAAAGCCTATTGTCATCTTCAAGGTAGTTGAACATAGGAAGATAAGTTCTTATTCCACTGATGCCATCTTATTACCAAAACATTGTTAGAATGCCTTTTTTAGGATTGCTTTAAGCTATAGCATATTCTCATTAATTTCTTTGGCTCTGTCGTTCAAAATTTCTATCCTTTATAGGTGGATTTGGTTTGGGGAAACAGTCAAAGTCATTTGGAGCCAGGTTTAATAAATGAGTCATAAACATTAGCTATAGCATTTTTAGTATATTAAAAAAAGTCTCATTCTCTTAAATGACTTGTAAATTGGCTTTTAAGACAATTTCAAAGGAGTCCTCATAATTCATAAATTACCTTTATGAATTTTATATACATAATTCAGAAGCAAAGTATAAAATTCATTTAGATATGTAAGTTCTGATATATTTAGAAAAATTGTCATTTCTTGAGGTGTTCCGTCAGTTGACCTCAGTACAATATTTTGCGTAAGGTGCTTAGGAACATGTCACTTGACCATGGATGGTAAAATAGAACACTAGCTGGAACATAAGTTCCACTAAAGAAAATTAAGATTTAGTAAGGATCAATGTCTACTTAAGAGAATATTTTACTAAGAAATAATTGATTATTAAATGTTTGAGGGATGACTTAAGAAATCAAACACAAGCTAAGAAGAGGTTGATTTCAAACTCTTAAACTAGTGATTTTCCAACTTTTTCAGCAAATTTTTTTCTCAAGTGAAATCTAAGAATCACAATATATAAAACAAAGTACTATTAGTTTAAATTTTTATAATTTTTACAATATAGTATAGTGTTTATTATGTATATAATGTTACAGTATTTATAGTATTATTACTATAATTTTCAAGTAAGTTCTAACTTAAAACATCTAAACTTAACAAACAAGTAAGGCTGTTTTAAGGAACACATTTAAATTGGTTATAGATTTAATAAGCCTTAATACCAAATTTATTTCAATATTTTGTTTATGATAACCAGTGCTGAGAGAAGACTAATTCACATAGACAAAAATGTAATGGCCTGGCCAGTATTGGACATGATGCACAAGGCAACAGCCCATTTTGCATTGTCAGTCTTCACTGTTGTAGTTGTTGCTTGTGACTTTTTTCGCCTGATAATCTGTTGTTGTAAATATACTGCCAAAGCTTTGCAATGGCATACATAAGTATAAACCTTCCATCTAAAATGTTGCCCTAAGTCAGCAGGAAGTAGCCCAATGATGACGTAACTCCTCCTCCCACAGATTTGGAATGGAAATATTGACAGTGGGGAGTATGTAACAGAGGGAATGGCCTGAAAAAAACAGTAAAAATGTTTTCTTTCTCTTTAAAACCTTCTCACTCTTTTTGAGGACTATTATAAAATCTGCATCCCTGCCTTAGACCAGTGGTTGGGAGGGGCGGCGAAATGTCCTGTTTTTTGTGCTTCAAGGAATTGTCCAGGTGTAGGGTAGAGGTCCTGGATGGAGGTCACAGGATTGTCTTCAGCAGAGATAGGATGGAGATGGGATGATTAGAATTATCAACAATAGCTGAATACCAATTGCCTGAAACTGAGAACCCACCCTTTAAAAGTTCTATATTTCTGCTTATTATTAGTAAGCTGGCATTTTTAGACAGTAGTCTCCATTTTCCTCATTTGCCAGCAAATTAATAATAAACTTCTCCTTCTTTCTCCTCAAAAAAAAAAAAAGTAATGGCCTGGATTGTAGTTTTACATAGGACATGCAGTCTGAATGCAAAAAGAGGGAGGGAGGGATATTGGTATAGAGAAAAATTTGAGCAGAATTAAGATATTTTGTAGAATTAGCAGGATAAGCTTATTTCAGTATCTCCACAAAAATGTTAATTTAGCAATCCAAGTGTTGATGGCCTTCAACAAGGTAAAAGTTGATATAGAATAAATTGCATTAATTTTTAGATGTTATTAGTTTAAAAGGTATGTGAATATGAAATTGGAATCAAACATCTGTGGCACTGTATTGTGTCTGTGTAATCCTGGATTCTGTGGAAGTTTGAAAAGCACAGCTAAGGTTTGTATCTGCCTTTAGGCCATATATTACATCATACTCTTCTCTAGTTCCTTGCGCAAAATGGATGCTCAGAAAATGTTTGCATTGTAATAAATACAGTGTTAAAATATGGTATTGATTTTCTGCTTTATCCCCTAGGGCACCAGTGTCTTGTCACCTGGACTCCACATAGGACTAATTATTATACTGGCAATAATGATCTATAAAAAGTCAGCAACTAATCTGTTTGAAAAGCATCCTTGTCTTTATACCCTAATGTTTGGGTGTGTCTTTGCTAAAGTCTCACAAAAATTAGTGGTAAGAAATTTTTATGATTTATGGTATAAATAACATACTGAGTCCTCAAACACAAAGCTGTAAATTACTCATATAATGTGTAGGTTTTCTCTTGTCATGTCAACATCATAATAAATAGTTAGCTATTTGTGCTCCAAGTAAAACTGTGATATGAGTTAATGTTATATGCAGTTAATTGTTTAGTTGTAATTATCAATTACAACTTTCTAAATTTACAGTTGTAAATTTAGGAATTTAAACATTAGAAACTTTATCTACCCAGTCATGAATTTGAGCTGTAGATAAGTATTCCCATAGCAAAGTAAGATTAAATGGTTTCTTTTTGTTTTAATAGTGAATTAAAATTATAATTTTGTCCTGAAAATAAAAGCTAAAACATTTAAAACTTAACAGTGAAATTATTTTGTTTACTTTTTTATAGATAGCTCACATGACCAAAAGCGAACTTTATCTTCAAGACACTGTCTTTTTTGGGCCAGGTCTGTTGTTTTTAGACCAGTACTTTAATAATTTTGTAGATGAATATGTCATTCTGTGGATAGCAATGGTAAGTACTTCTGCTTTTTCTTTATCTTTTAACACTATGCTAAAGAGCCATTTTAGTGAGCTATCAGTACCTCAATAGTCTATGCAGTAAATGTTTCTGAATATTTGAAATTACTTCTGTTAAGCTATGAGTCATTCTATATTGTATATAGAAATAGCCAACATATCTGGAGATCAGACTTCTGACAACCTAGATCCTTGGAAACACAACAGTGTACCTAAAAATAGATCTTTCTTCCCCCCACCCCCAAAAAAGTTTAAAGATGTCAAAAACTACTGAACTCTGCCCAAAGGACTTTGTGACTTTACTTAATCAAGCTTATTAGAATTATTCCCAGTTTACAGCAGGTAACAGGCAAACTGGATGGTGTTAGTGCTAACAAAGGTGGGCACTTTACTGCATCAAGAACTGTCAGCTAATATTGAGGAAACAAAAGAGAATAGACAGTACCACTACGTACAGGATTCTGAGACCATTTTATGCTAGAAGCAAGCAACCCTATCTGTACAGCCCTTGAGGATTGTGCATAATATGTATTATTGATAATGACTCAGTCATCAAGCAAAGGTTAAATTCTCATTGATTATATCTTAAGAAAGGGATGTGGATAATACATATAGGAATTTATCTTCAAGATGATTGTAAAATGGAGTATAGTGCTTAAAAGAAACACTTCAGCCATCTGAGGAAAAGAAAATCATTATTGGTAATACTTCAATCACAAAATTAGATAAATGGAGCATTATAAAATTTTGTATATTATTAAGACATATCTTTATGGTTATTCTTCAATGAATGGTGGATTTGAATAGTTTTACTGTATTTTTCTCTCTGGACCTCACTGGACCTCTCCAAATTGTTAGATATAAACACTAAAATACACTTTAAAAAAAAAATACCTGCAATGAATCTTTTGATAATTCAAATAATCTATATTTGTCAGATTTAAGTATTTAAGAAATCTTTATCTGTTCTATGTATGGCCCACAGGGTACATTTGATGATCCTTCAAAAAGTTGTATACTTTTTGTGAAGTAAATTAATAACTTAATATTCACTCATAGTCCATTCAGAAGTCTTCTATTCTTCTTCATACAGAGGTGGTGAGCTATAATTCTTAATCCTTTTAGGTAAATGAGTTTTGAGGCAATATTCTAAAAAATATTTGAAAACCAGAATAATTTCCTTTAATTTGCTATTGACTATAAATGTTTTTAGGGCTCCAAAACAATCCAAATTTAAGAAATAGGGGGTGATTATTCAAAATATCTGAAAACTCAATGTAAGTTTTCTTTTAGTGAACCTAGATATATATTACCAAGTGGAATTGTTATAATTAAAATATCAGGTATTAAAAATTGAAGCACCTATTTTGCAATGAGTAGTTAGCCTGGTTTACACCAGTGATGGAGACTGGAGAACTGAGGAAGTCAAAAACACTAAATGAACAACTTAAGCTTTGGCATAAGCTTCCTGCTAAAGAGAGAAAAGAGTTTGACGTAGCTTTTCAAGTAAGGGATATGGAGATTTTCCCCACATGGGTGAGAAGAATTCCCTCTACAAGGGCAGAGCTGAGGCTCCTCTTTATCCTGGACTTAATTTTTTGAAGAGAAGCATTTGACTGTGGTCTCTGGGCAAAGTCTCTAAATAGAAGCCCTCCTCCTTAATTTTGTAAACACAATTTTATATATGCCTCCCCTCAACTATGGTGTCTTTCTCAGAACTTTTATCTTCTTACAATGCATTTGATGGAGTGAATTTACTATAAGATACGACTGATAGCCCTTTCTAGAAGGAAATTTTTAGCTTCATTGCACAGCAGGAAGTAGAGAAAATGTAGAGTCAGAAAACTTGGGTTCTGTTACTTTTGAGCTTTTGTATTTTTAGTCTAGTCCTTTTATTTTGTTGAGCCTCAGTTTCTATAATTGTACAATAACTGCATATTCCAGAGGACTATAGTGAGGACCAAATATGAAATACATCAAAGTACTTTAAAATGTATTATTTTTGGTGAAAAATTTTAGGTTAAGGTTTGAGCTTTGGTGGGAAACAGAACAGTAACTGCTACTTGAGAAAGGATAGACCATAATCAATTTTATATATTTCTTTTTGCTTCTAAAGGTCATTTCTTCATTTGATATGATGATATACTTTAGTGCTTTGTGCCTGCAAATTTCAAGACACCTTCATCTAAATATCTTCAAGACTTCATGTCATCAAGCACCTGAACAGGTTCACAAGCATATTGACTGACTAATAGCTCAAGGAAAAGAGGAGATGCAGTTAGGGGAACCTATGAGTGAAGGAAATCCCCCTATGCAGGAGGCTAGTATACTATCAGTTAAGGTTATATTTGAATACAAAACACAAATACTGCAAATTCTATTTCAGAAATGAAGCCCTCATTGTGTATCATTTTTGATCACAGGTATTCTCAGAGTAATACAATCTATAAATTAGAAACAAGACTAAAGAAAGAAATTTCAATCCTAAAGAAACTGAACCCCTGTAATTCTAAATAGCAGTCTCTTTGAGAAACTTATCAGATACTTTGAGAATGTAAAGGATTTTGGCCATTTGAGTGTGCTTTGCTAAAAATGTAAAAGTGAGCTCATAATACTCAATAATTACAATATTATAAGCCAAGCACTTATGGAGTCAAGTAATGTTCTAAGAATTTTTAAAAATAATAATCATTTTTCAAATGAGGTACACTAATTACTATGGTATAAAAGATCTTTGGTGACCCAAATCTTCAGCTCCCATCTGACCCTATTTTTAATTTTATACAGTAGTTCTGTAGACCATATACCATATGATGAAATAATCAGAAAAATAAATAATGAACATGTACATCTGTCATAGGCAAGAAAAAGGCATATTGAAAAAAACAGTGAAAGATGATATTCCTTAAAAGGAAAAAAATATACTTATCTGAATTAAGTACACAGAAAACACTCTGGAGTACTTCTTACTTTGCCTCTGTAAGTATTAGTAAAACTTCTCAAATAAGGACCCTTAGAAGTTTGAATAGTACTTAAGATTTATATTCTAACACATACTTTGGCTTAAAAGGAAAATCCCTTACAAAGTTCAAAATTTTAGGAAATAAACTGTTCTTTTAATGTCAAATATTTGTTAATGGTAGAGGACTAATATCTTCCTGTACAAATTATCACAGTTAGAAAAAGAATCTATGTGGACTTGTTTTTTAAAACTTGGAAAACCTTAAAACTAAGATAAGGGTGGGTTATAGAGTCAAAAATTAGAATTTAAAACATAGAAAAGCAGGAGAAAATTGCTCCTCTTCTCTTAATGGGCATATTTTTTGTTTTGAATGATTCATGGAAAACAATTTCAGCAAAAAATAAGTTTAACTGATTTATTTCAAACGAATGCTGAAACAGTATTTATTAGATCAAGTGTATGTCAATCCTTATAAAAATGCACATTTTAAAAGATACAAAAATTAACTATTTGGGTTTGAAAATGTAAAATTAAACTCAATATCAAAAATCAGTATTACAAAATACTAAAATTGAAAAAAACATTCTAGGTAATTTATCTTTAAAGACAGATATCATATACTTAAACCATAAGTAATTAGGTACGTTAATGATGTGCTCTTATTCATTGCTAAGGGCATGTGTGCCATTTAATTGCAGACCATGCCCAATTAAATGACATTTTGATGTCTTTGTGGAAATGACAGATTCACAAACCCATGTCTTAAAACTGATATTTACATCTCTTGTTCAGTTGTTGATTTAATGTTCAGAGGTAATGATTTTTAGCAGTTTTATTCTAGAACATAAACTTAAGTTCATCTTATTTTCATTAGAATTGGTTGTATAATTTAAGTATGTAGATAAGGATGTACGTGTAAAATAGATTTTGTATTTTTTTCTTAAATAAGAACAATGTAACCTTCTCTACTTGTGCTTTCTATCTTTTGGGACTAATACAGATACACTGAAGCCAAAACCTAAAATTAAATTATCTTTATTGCTAAAAGTTAATTGACAATGTTAAAGAGAAAAATTCACTATAACCACTAAAGAGCTGAAAACTTGATACATATCATTTAGGAATAGCTGCTACTCACATAACTGTTTAGATTTTATTTGGGAATTAACAGAAAGGAAGGTCTTGCAATGAAATAAGCTAATGATTAAAGGTGTTATAATTTAAACTGGCGTTTCTAAACCACTCTAAAGACTTACTTGCCTCTTAGCTAATGTTATAATTGTATCATATTACTTAGGTTCAAGTTCTTTCTTCAAAGAGTCATCAGAATAACATGGATTGAAGAGACTTTCGAACACTTGCCATCTCTTGCTGCTGCTGTTTCATGAAAGGAGATATTAAACATGTGTTTAATTTTCAGTTAAGTGTTGTACCTCTTTCAGCAAATAAAATATTTCAGTGCTTACATTAATCCTTATTTTTAAAATTTTAAACAAAGACTTACAGTTTCCATCATAATTTTTTTTTGCAACATAGCCATTTCTTTTCTAAGTTCACTTTGTGCACTTGTAAGGAGACTATCATGTTCCTTCGCCAAGTCTTCCATACTCTAAAACACAAAAGGCTAGTTTAGTTACAGTAAACCACTACTTTTCACCTTAGGTTCTAAACTTGTACAATTAATTTTCAACAGTAAGAACTTTTTAATATTCAAATGCTGCTCATTTTTTTCATAGCTCCAGAGTAAATAGAAATGCTTATCATTTATTCCAAATTTCAAAGTTCCAAGCAATACATAAAGACCAAAATACCTACTATAAAGGAAAAAAATCAGATATGAATCAAATATTATAGGAAGTACAACAGTAATATACTTTGCTTGAACAATGGATTAGTGAACAGGTAAGGTCAAGATGGAACAAAAACAGAAAAAGATTGGAAATCCCTTATCAATAAATACCATAATTTTAAATTTTCTATTAAGCATTCCAAATAGGTAATTATCTACTATTTATGACTAGTAGTCAACATGACATGAATTCACTAGAGGGAATAAAATGGTCTGTAGTAAGACTTCTTCCAAATTATGAAAAACAAGAATTATGTTTTAAATTTTTACTATTCATTCTACAAATAGTTATAATCTGGTGTCTACTATGTAAAAAACACTATGTTAAGTGCTGTGGAGAAATTAAAAATTATTACATGATTGCTCCCTTGTTCTGGTCAGAAGAAACATATAAACAAAAATAACACAGAAGTTTTATAATAGGAATGGAAATAACTTGCTGTGGCTATGGAAAATGACAATTCTGATTTATTTGGCTAAAGAATAAGCTTTCAATAGATAAAAAAGAGTTGAAAGTATTGTGGGGAAGAGCATAAGCAAAAACATGGAAGTACATGGTGAGTTTAGAGAAATTATACGGAGAGGGGGGATAATGAACAAATGTAGTAACTGAAGCTCAAAAAGAGGGTCATGTCACAGGGAGATCTTGAATACCTAAGAATTTAGAACGGGAAGCTACTGATAGTTTTCTAGGAAGGAACAATGTATTTTAGAAAGATAATGTGGCAGATCTATAAATATAGATTGGAGAACAGAGAAACCAGTTAAGAGTTTTAATACAAGCAAAGCATCATGAGGTCCTGAACTAGGGTAGTACCAGTGGGAATTAAAAGAAAGAACGAACCACTGCAGAGGTAAAAATTACAGACCTAGAAGTAACTGGATGTGAAGGATAAAGGAGATGGAGGAATCAAAGATTATACTACAGTTGCTACCGTAAGTAACATTTAGTGATAACATTTAGAAGAAACCTTTACCTAGTGCTTTATCAAACCTTCACACCAATTAACAAATGGTTGTCTGGGAGAATTAGAGCAAGCTAACAAATTCTCTACTGGGAAATACTTTTAGAAATAATTTTTGTGGCCAGGTGCAGTGGCTCATTCATGCCTGTTAGTCCTAGCTACTCAGGAGGCTGAGGCAAAGAGGATCACTTGAGCACAGGAATTCGAGGTGCAGTGAGCTATGATCATGGCACTGCACTTGACCCTAGGCAACAGAGCAAAACCCTATTTCTTTAAAAAAATTTTTAAAAATTGTATTCATATATATTAGTTATTTAAAAACTTTATTGTAAAACTATTTTACTAGTTTACTCAGAGTATCCCAGTTCCTTTGGAAGAGTTATATTTTAACATGTATTTGAACAAGAGTATCTAAAAGAATTCCCCCATTTAAAAAAAAAAAAGTATATGCAGGATTCCATTGAGCTTCTATGAATAGTTACTAAAAAATAAGTATATTTCTGCATGAACAAAGTCAGTGTCACAAACCACAATTTGCTAATATATATGTGTGCCAGTAGATAACTACCAATCCACAAATTTTTAATCCTCAGCTGTCTGTTTTGTCTCAGCTAGTTCTTACGGTAAGTTGGCATATTAAGTCATTTTGGTCACTGTAATAATTGTAAAAGCAAATATGCTATAAAATACTTCTATAATACATTTGAAAACAAAATAAATACTAATTTCAATTGGTACTTTCTATTTAACACTGGAGATACAAAGACAAGTAAAACCCTACCTAGAAATTATTTAGACTTTCTATTTTCCGTTAAACAGAGAACTATGACTAAAGTGTTAATAAAGTACGGATTTTTTGCAAGATAAGTACATTTCTCAGTAAATTAAACCGTTTCCTGTTTTGAATAATACCCACAAAGCTATTAGAGTCCTAACGTAAAGATACATTTATCACCTAAGTTAAATCAGAAACAATGAATTCAGAATGGAAAGTAGTTAATTTAAAATGTATAAATAAGTTTTTCCCAGAATCTTAGAAAGAAAAAAATTATACTTCCACAAATACATATTTTATAAGAATGTATTGTTGCCATATACAACAGACCTTTATGAACTGCTCATATAACTGTCTAATTGTTTTCAGTCTCTGGCTCTGAACAATTCTCGATTGTTGGAAAACCTTTTGTTGCTGCCGAAACATATTCTACAAATACAAAAGAAAAAAATTGTGTAACAATTTGGGTACAATTTTATTTATTATTGAATTATTTTTTTGAGTACTAATGCTTTCTTGGGTTGTACAATCCCAGGGCAACAAGAGTGAGGGGAAAGGAGGAGTTCAGGAAAAATTGGCAAGTTCAAGATGTCATATTATTGAACAAGTTACTCTTTGATGAAGAGTCATAGGTGGGTGAATATGGCTATACAGTAAACCACGCCTCAGAACAGACCATCAAAGAGGGAAATGGAGGGAGAATTTATTTGTTGCTCTCCTCCCGTCCTCTGCCTCCAATTGGTTAAAATTTTGCCTGTGGGAAGTAACTCTCCAGCACTTCCGGGTTGTGTGAACTGCCCCTTTGGGAATCCTCTGGGGAAGTGAGATTCCATGCCTGTGTGGTGCTTCATCCAAATATGGAACTGATGGTGGGTGCCAGAGGCTCTGGCTAGTGCAGAGCTGGCCACCCTGGGGTACGGTTTTAAATTTAGCAAAAAAAAAAAAATGCCACATTAAACTTAAAAGTAGTTTTAAAATCAATACTTTTAACATTTTAACTCTTATGACCAAGTTTAGATAATTTGTGTTCATCACTAATATGCAACAATATGTAATCCTAACAGTGAGTAAATAGGAAATTTTAACGATATTCAAGACAAGTCTTAATTCTTGATTTCAATATCCA